TGGTACCACCTCTTGCATTCATCATATTACGTACCATAGACTCTAACTTACCACAAATAATTCTACGACAGCTCATGTTAACCATGTAGTATAAGATTGGGTTGAATTTGAAATAAGTGCAAAAGAGATGCGAATGAAACTTAAAAAGCCATAATGTTGGTAGGAAGTACTCAGTGAAATTTTTTAAAAATAAAAAATTTATCAAAAACTTTTCACTGGAAAAGGTACTCAAATTCAGTTGGTGAGTTACTATAAGAAATCCAGGTAATTTGTTTGATTGTGGCTGACAGAAAGATCCAGGAAGGGTGTTTCGTCCTACTTGGGACTCTTCGGCCGGACGTACCCGCACCTCAGTGAGTGTTGTCCCCAATGAGACTCGAACCTCGTACCCATTGCTCCGAACGCCAAAACGTTACACACTGTGCTACGGAGGAACGGTAGCCACTTCTTGTACAACGCGAAGTAGTTTCTACTACGAAGTTCGAGTCTCAGTGGAGACATAACTCACTGTGGTGAAGGTACATCCAACTAACGAGTCCCAAGCAGGACGAAACGCACGTCCTGGATCCTTCTGCTAGCCACAACCAAACAAACTACTTTGCTTAACATTCAGGCAATATCTAGTATCCGCATAGGAGCCCATATGCCAATGAAGGTCGAACAATTCGATCCAGTAAAATAAGGAGAATTCCAAGTATGTTGATATGTAAAAAATTCACTCTAGAATAGCTCCCATCTTACTTCAATCATAAATCAATTCAACTAAAGCGAAAATTCAATAAGCTTTGATTTGTTTGATGATGCCAAAGATTTAGTGAACGTAACCTTTGTGAATGTAACCTTTGTCGCATGAAATATATTATTATTATTATTATTATTATTATTATTATTATTATTATTATTATTATTATCAGTTCATTCGCTTTTCAAAACACACGTCCTTTAGATTCTTTATATATACCCTTGCATCTGGTGAAACTTTCATCCTTTTATCCTGCGTGCTTTTCGCAACAGGTGTGTAAAAACGTTATTAGTATATGGTTTTGTACATCAGTTATTGTCATGACAGCTACTTATGTTTTAAATCACTCCGAGATAATAGCTGGCCAAAGGGACTTGATTACACTCAGCATATCTAATTAAACCCAGAGTAACGTGACCCTGTGACCGTTGAGTATGTTAAATGTGTCCGATTTTGTGTCCTCATAAAATCATACATTTCTCCATTTGCTTATTCATACTAAAATGCGTAACTAGAGAGGTACTTGAAATTTTAACTAACTCTCAAAGGATATTTCCTCTCTGTTCCTTGTGTCGTCTGCTTGATTTTTCAATCGTAGTTGCTAACGTTTTAGTATTCTGTTACTCTTTTGGTGGTCGATAATATTTTGGTATTTTCGGATGCGACATGAACATCTTTAATCATCAGCTGTATCATATATCTTCCACTTCGTCCCACTATTTTTTGGGATGTATTTCTCACTACCCAAATGCAGGTTAGTGCTCGAGTGATGGCCTGTATTTGTGCCCCGTGTGACAGTTGCGAGTGAAGTGGTTGACTGTGTTGACCACTTCAACCATTTGAGAAGTCTGATCAACCTTTGCATGTATACAAAGGCCTTGCTTAGCTTTTACAAGCTCGCGCTAATTGTGGTACCACTGTGATATGATTGCCTTTTAAAGGTCAAGCGTACAACACACCAGTTCGTTCTGTCTTACTGTTTAGCTGTGAAGAAATGAAACGTACTCAGCAGCCTTGTTCACATCCGTGCATTAGATAGTGAGCCATAACTATTGTATGAGGGCTAGTGGTACTACTTGGCTGCCCAAACCTCGGTAGGTGGAGTGGAGTTCGGCCCCATGACTTGCTGGTTGATAGTCATCTCCCTAAACCACTGAGCCACAGCTCCACACCATGTAGCTGTGAAATATGGTCATTGAAGGTGAAAAACATGAGGTTTCAGGTGTTCGACCACCATTACGTCTGTAGCGTCTGTCGTGTGTCTTGAAACCGTCATGTCAGTATTGAAGAAGTCAGACATAGAGTACTAGGTAGAAGAGGAGTGTCAGTTGATGAGGTTGTGAGTCTCCATCGACTCAGACACGGTTAATCTTAACCGTATAGAGAAGTGTAGACTTCCCGGTTTGTATTCCATGTCATAACTGAAATTAGCGGCTGGCGACTTCAAAAAATATAGTTCAGAATCAGTGTCAGTCACGCACACACTATCTTCATGTTAATCTTTATGCCGAATTTCGTTGTTTTTTTCATCCCTTCTTGGTTTCTTTTTGTGACTTTCTACCACTTTTGACTATTTTATTCATTTCTCTGTGTCATCGTGGTGCTTCGTGAAAATAGGTTATCAAATGAAGCTAAATCATAATATTCTGAACTTCGTGTCTTTTTAAAAGCAAAGAAGGAAACAAGCAAACATACAATGGCCCGGAGTTTCTGGCGCAGCTCAAACTAGTAAGTGTCAATTTCAGTAGTGTGTAGGATTTAGCTATTTCTTTATTTAACTATTCCTGTTCTGATAATTAGAAGACAGTGCGGTAATTCGTCTGTAGGCTTTACAACTATACTCGGCAACTATTCATTTTTGAAATTTGATATCGTCATGGTCGTAAGAATATTGCTTTCCAGTATATAGATTAGAAAATATTTTTCAGATACAGCGGTAGCTCATTAGTCTTGGAAGTTAACTTTCGCCCACTTAGTCAAGAGTTCGAGCGCCGCTGCACCTACTGAAATTTCGGCTACAGGTTAGTTTTATAAGTCCTTATACGGCAGATGTGGTTCATGTTGGTTGTATTGTAGTCTTTGAGCTGGGTTGTTTAATCGTGCCCTCGTTATCTTTCTAGGCAACATCATTAGCACAGACTTCAGTATGAAGTGAGCTATCATGATTTTTCCGTGATTGATTCAGTTGCTTGCCGTAACGAATCGGTGTGTTATTGGCAGTTTCTTTTGATCACTGTGTCACTGACTACACAGATTTTCCTATTGGTTATTTCACTGCTTGACTGCTGAGCTTGCAGTTACTTACCATTATTCTTATTGGTTTATGGATCGTGTCTATCTATGTTCACATACTTTTGTTTTGCTGACTGACCTGAATACCAAGCTTCCAAGATTTCTCGACTATCCTCTGTGTTTCTTCTGTCCAAGATCTGTGCGTTTTTTAAGCCAAATTTATCTCTATAGTTGTCCACATGCATTGGTATATGATGAAATGTCGTGACTAATTACCAATTGACGTTCTTGTAGACGAAAGTGAAAAGAATAACTTTGTCCAGTGTATCGCTAATATCTGATTTGTTTACTGTAGTTATTTTATCCTTCGATCCGCATAATATGGCTTGGAGAGAATTTGGTTTATGACCTCTGTAACCGTAGTCACGATTTGTGCTATGTTCTTTGTCCATGGTACGATCTGTGTGCTAATTTTCGTGTAAGACTTTGTAGTTGGTGATGAATTGGCTGCGCATCATCTAATGAAGCTGCATGGGTTACTTTTCTTCTTTGGAACGGTCATCAAGTGATTTTCTTCGTTTTCCCATCAAGCCGTATTTTAGTGTGCTTCTAACCATTGGCTTTCGTAGGACTTTTTTCATTTGTCTTCTCAGAAGTGTTTGCCAGTAGTCTGACTATTTAAGCGGGTTTACAACGCCTTCCCACTTCAATTTCTAATTATTAGAGCTGTGATATACCAATACGTGGCAACAGTTTATTCATTTCTAAATCCAATGTTTTCTCAGTGATTTCTTTGCTTTTTATACTCATGACAACGCTCAAAAGCACAACGGTTTATTTAATTGTATGGGTTGCAATGTCGAAAGCAAACAACAATAAACCTCTGTTTAGTTTTACTATTAATTGTGTCATAAATTTTGAAGCTGTGCTCGCTGCTTCCATTCAGTTGTTTGACAAAAACCACTCAAACTCACACAATCGGTTCAGAGCTCACGGAGAGTTGCTGTCTGAAGTAATGATAACCATTAGTATCTACTGAATGTGACTTTGTATTATTCGTATCCAACTTCGCCATGGAAATGTTAATGGATATGAACCTACATTACTCCAATTGATTTGTTTCAAAAAGTGCACCTGATTGGCTTTGAGTCCTGTTAGATGAAGACGCTAACAGAAAGTAAAGTATTCTGAGAACCTCAAGCAGAAATCTAAGGATATTCGATCAACTGTTCACAATTGTCAAATGTAAGACGATGCTTGAGGACTGGTCTGCATCAACTACTGATTTAGAGATGGTAGAATGCATTGACCACTTCATTTTATAGATTGGCTGCTGACGAAATCTCAGATCCAATACTCATAAACTGTTCGGGATTCGGTAACTTAAGCGATCTTTGGCCGCGTGTAAAAGAAAGGTTATATTGTGCACGAGTCCTCTCTTTACCACTATATGCCTGAGATATAACCTTTAGAACTACGCATCAAGAGAACCGATGCTTTCGTAACATTAATCACATATGTGGGATCTATATGTGATCAATGTTGAGGTTAGGCGTAGGATATTAGGTAAAGAAGGTAATTCAGTCGATGAGTTTGTGAACATTAACCAAATGTGGTGGCCTGCACATACCAGACCATCATCTCCTAACTCGATGCCCAACGTTAGCCGTAGTAAGATTGCATTAAAAGAAAGTTGAGAACGGTCATGGCACCGATCCATGGATTCTCTGACCGTTGATCTGAACTATGTAGTCAGCCTTAGTAACTTCCTTAACATATTCGACTCATAGCGGGGTCTTGGGTGTGCACTACTGAGAAGTCCTATACTAGGACGAAACAAATGTCCAGTGCTCCCAGGTTTCCAGTGTTCCTCCAATTGATGAATACCAACTTGAAATCAATCAATAAATCCCCACAAACCCCCAAATTGGATTAAAAATCATGCTTCTAACTCTTGTTGGTGGGATTCGAAATCTGTCATGATCTGCAGATATCTGCACTTTTGATGTCTTTCAAAGTTGCGGGCATTTTTGCAGTATTCTGAGTCTGTTTATTCACTCGTCATACTATCGCATCACACTTCTTATTTGAATACTGTTTTGAAGTTTTCCACTTGAGCTCATGTGCTTATATGCCTGGAGTATTTAAAAATCATACTCAACTGTTTGATGTAGGTAAACATGTGCAATTTTTTCAGTATAGCATCGCTTTTACTGAGGATTAAAAACATTTCCACATTTTTTATCGTTATGGCACCACTTTTCAGGTCCAAGGTTGTCATGCATTTATAAAAAACATAACGAAATGTGTTGTCACTTTTTTCTTTTAATGTTAGTCTTTTTTAAAACTGGCGTACCCATGTTTCCATTCTCGTTTTAGTAAAGTCTCGTGGTATTAAAAGTTTTTGTTTCTATTCTGTGTGCAACGAGCACTGGACTGAAGGTAAAAGAACCGCGGTGATTGCGATCTACCTACTATTCTTCTTATCGTTTGGTCTTTCTCAACATTACCATAGAACTAGTGCAAACAGTTAGCGGCCACTCTTTGCAATGAGCCTATCGGGAGAATCTTACTAATGGCGAATCCATCACGTTTTTAATTCCCACTGACGTCGTCTTGGAGTCCTCACGAGCCCACTAGTTGGAGCGGGACTGAGCTGTAACGGCAACTGATTTCGCGAAATCACTAACCTAGGGTTCGTGAGATTCAACGTAGTTGCTGACCGTTTTGGTTTTATCGGACCAGTTAGGCTGAAGGCACACAGTTCGGCATCACGCCATTCAGTCAATTGTCGTGCTTTGTCACATTTCTCATACACAGTCCTCTAGCCAGCTAGTTGAAGTGTGCCGGGATTTCGGCACAATTCGTCAAATATACCATTACTGCCTGGTGAAAAATGGTGAATTTTTCAAAATGAGGGGATGCTGATCTTAACTGGGAAATACACGTTATCTGTAACCGAATGTAAAACTGTGGTCTTCAACTGTGCTGAGTAGTGCTGTATGCCTGCCAAATCTCAATTTTGTTCCATCCACTACAAACTGTACCCAGTAGTCGTGAGTAAAGGACACTCGGCTACTTTCTACTAAGCAGCTTCAATACATCAGACACTTTTGTTTCAACTAACGGTCTGCTGTAAAGTGTGGCGGCGTAAACCACTGCACTTGTGTGTGAGATACTACGTTGATTTTGTCTATCTGTCTTTGTAAGGACCGCCAATAGCTTTATTTGTGGGTTAAGGTGATACTACTAGATTTATTTGTGCTAAAACTCAATGACACTCATTCTGATTTGATTATAACAAAATTAACAAAATAAAATAACAATAACAAAATTAAAAGTGATAGTTGTTTAGTGTTCTCTGACCTTTGACGTATTTTCTTAGACATGTCATCACCAAGCTAGAAGACCGCATCAGCATTTACTTCATAAAGAAGTGAAGCATTCTCAAGTTACATGAATGTTTGTGAAGGATATTTACCGACCTTGAGTGCTATTTTGTTTTAACAGTAGGGGTGAATTCCCCTTATTTTTTATCAGAGGTTGACCTGGTTATTGATTTGCTTGGTTGATTTGTAGTTGGTCGATTTCTTTTTAGTAGTTCACATATTGGGTCAATGTTTACGAGTTCGTTGATTGCCATTGAGAGTATCATGCTCCCAGGAATTCTCTAGCTATTTTTGTAGTATTTATTACGGTTGCAAACTACTATAATCGCTAACGATGCATAGATGTCAGCCGTCAGCCACCAACGCTCTACAACTTCTTAGTTGATTCCCGACCCGACTAATTAGTGGAGAAAACACAGTGAACGTGTAGGAACATGTATTTAGACCGGACACCCGAAAACAATAAACAAAGGGGTATATGTCCAAATATATACACAGTCTGCCGTTTAAAACAATAATATTAACGAGTTGATCGTCTGTCAGTCTACTTAAGATGTGATGAACACAAAGTACGTTTTTATTCATCTATTTCCACATATGTTCTTTGTATATTACTGTAAAGTGTATAAACTTGAGCCTATACATTTGTGTTTGCGGTTCTAAGTTGATTTTGTCTGTGTGTCGTGAATGTTTTTCTTAAGTTCGCAGATCGAGTTGTCATCTCTTTATCTCTCCGGAATCATATCCTGCGTCAAATTATTTCCGATAGTCCAGGTATCGAACTCATAAAATCAAATGCTCTCAGACAAGTACTTGGCAATACTTTCTGCTCTCGCGGTCTGCCAAAACTATCTTTTCCGACAATAGTTGTCAGTTCACATCTGCACAGTGCGATTTTCGCCTTCGACGTATACTATCCACACCATGTCATCCACAATACAACTATCAAGCAGAACCACTTGTAGACGCGTTCAAGAGATGTACTCAAAGCACGGAGGGAAAAGAAGACCGCTGACATTATTCAGAAATCCTCCTTTATGTACAGAACAACAACGGGCACACTTGCAAATCAGCAAAGCCTATCGGAAGCGCTGATGGGGAGAAAGC